CTTCCCCCACCCTCCTAGGCCCCACCTGGACATCATCCATGGGAGGTTTCCGAAATCTGTCACCCTCCCCGCTATATCCTCCTGCTGCCCCTTCTCCATCTCAGTGTTCCCTGGGACCCAGCCTGGCAGAAAGGGTGCCAGGTATTGCCCTGGTGAAGCCAGGCCCTGCAGGCTACCTGCCAGCAGCTGGTATCCCATTGCACTGTGGATAGCGAAGCCCAGATTAGACAGTGAGCTCATGGCCACACAAACGGGGCCACTGGGGCGAGGGCACAATAAAGCCCGATGATGTGACTTGTGGGGAGTTCCCCTGTGTCTCCTCCTTTCTGCTCTCCACCCTATCCTTCGCCCTTCTGTTTCCCTCTTGTGCACACCGACACCCCCTCTTGGTGCTTACTGGGGATTGCCATGGCAACCCTCCAGCAAAATGATCCAAACACTTTTATGCTCACAGTTGTACAAGACGAGGTGCTAATTCCAAGCGAGGCGGGAGCGGCTGGGAGGATGTTGAAGTCACGGGCGCTGTGCCAGGGTCCTTGCTGCGAGGTGGAGTGGGAACCAGCAGGAGCAGGGGTGAGGGCCAGGAGGAAGAACTATCCAGAAAAGCCCTGTGATTCGCTTGCCGGAGATGTCATGTGTGTTGCTAGCCCCTCCCCAGACCTTATTTGCACTTTATACATACAACACAACAACCATGGCTGGGCCAGATATGCCAAATATCACTGTCTGGAATCGCCATCACATTATTCAGTGTACAGAGACCCGTCATTCATGCCAAGGACATTGTGAGGTGGGGTGGCAGGATAGCCAACTGTCCCCGGCTTTTAGCTGGCCAAGATCTGGACTGGGGAGGCAGAGTGCTGTGGGAGAGGGCCTGTCCTGTTCCCTAACCACCTAGGGAAAAGCAGGAGACAGCTGGGTACACCCATCCTGACCTGTTTCTTTACTGCCTTCCTGGAGTCTTTGGGACTCGTGGCCTCTGTACCCAAGGACACACTGGGGGTCCCTACTCTCATTCCGCCTGGACCCTGTGAACAGCTGAAGAACTGGTGGATGTTGGTTGAAAACCCCAGCTCTGCCCCAAAGTCAAAGTGTGTGTGTGGATGGTGGATGAGACAGTGGCCCAAGCTCTTCCCAGACCTGTCACCATCTTCCTGCCCCCATCTGGTCCCTGCTGCCCCTCCGTGGAGGTGAGCATTCCTGTGCACCAGGCTTCCTGCCAGTCTCTGACCCAAGAGGAAGCTTCTACTTCTCATGAAGGGGATCTCCTCATCCATGACTATTCTCAAGGGTGCTAGAAGGGCACAGCTGGGCACCCCAGAAAATCCATCCGGCCCCCTCACCTTGGGGATAGATGCGCAGCTGTGTATAGGAAGCTCCTGGTTCAAGGCCACAGAACATGTGGGCGATGGAGCTGATAAGGCAGCAGGGACACTGGCGTCTGACTCGTCACCCACATTAGAGAGATGGGGGCTGGGCACCTGGGCCATGAGCACTGACCTCTGAATGTGCCCAAAGCACCAAGGCACAGCGCCGAGTGCAGACTAAGCCTTCAATAACAGCATGGCAGGCCCCTCCCCTGTAACCTCAGGGCCACAGACCTGCTGTGACAGGGACCAGCCCGCATCTGTGCCAATTCCTGCCCCAGGCTGGCCAGATGAGGCAAAGCAGATTTTCCGTGCACATTAGCTCACAGCCTCAGTGACCCCTCAGGAAGGCCCCGAGAGGTCCATGGGCAGCAGGAGATAGGACCTGACCCCTGGGCAGAAGTCCCAGATTTGCCCACTCTACATGCTCCAATATCAGGGAGGACAGACACATGGGGGCTGGCATCATATCCACAGAGATCCACCATAACTCGCTTCACACACTGCAGTTAAGGCCTGCTGTGCCTGGGATTCAAGCCCCGGAGTCATCCTCAAGAACTGGGGAGGCTCTGTCTGGTTTCTCTTTGAAAACTCTTTGAGTCAGATGGGGAGGTAGAGCCTTCACTATAGCCCCAGTGCAAGCCCCTGGAGCCACAGTTTGTGGGAATCTGATCCCATGATCTCCCTAGCAAGAAGCTGGGCAGGTTGGCCCGTGAGCTCTTGGCAGCCAAAGGAACTTGCCTTTTATGCCAAAGACATGCTGGAAACAAAGCAAGGGGCTTCCCATGCTGTCATCTGTGGCTCCCAAGGACACTCTGTCACTCTCGAGTATAGAAATCAGAGTCTCAGAGTGTTATGTGCAGGAGGAGCCTGTGACAAAGAATGCTTAGCTCCCACGTGGCCGGCTCCTGCCAGCAGGAAACAGCCCAGAAAGGCACGAAAGGGCCCCCTAGAGTGGGGGCTGGCCCTTGAATCCTCCCAAGGTGGGGGGCATCTTGGAGAGGCAGGGCCAGATCCTATCCATTGTGGGAGGGGGGGTTCAGTCTCTCTCCTCCCCTCCCTTCTTTCTGGAGACTCCTCTGGGAGCAGAGCCCTGGGACCAAGCACAGGGGATGAGCTCATGTCTAATTTAGGGCCTTCCTGTGAAGCCCTGCACCTTGCTCTCTGCTTTTACAGCTCCGGGCCGGCCAGGGCAGTGGGTACCAGGGACCTGAGCCCCACTTGCTGGCCTGAGGGCACTGTGTGTGCTGGGAAGGAGCCAGGAAGGTGAGCAGAGTGAGCTGGGCAGTGATCTAATTGACAGGGGGCCTCATGGCTCATCCGGGTACCAGTTCCATACTGGGCATCAGGGAGAGGCAAAGGCCAATTCTGCAAGTCCGGCAGGGAAGGTGGACAGTATGGCCATCAATAAACCAATCAGGAGGGGATGAAGTGACCAAGGGGCAACCTTTGATTAGGTGCCAGGGAAGGCTTCTCTGAGGAGCTGAGGCTTCTGCATGCAAGGCCAGGCAGAATGTTCTGGTAGAACGAAGCTAGGACCCATTTTAATTCTAGCAATCTTTCTCTTGAAATCAGACATGGTTCCCTGGTTACTCTGCTACCCTGCTGGCCACTGCTTGGCTGAACTCCCATCTGGCTCATCCTTCACTTAGGCCCATGCCAGCCCTCTTTTCTTTTTTTTTTTTTTTTTTTTTCTGGTAGGGAAGGAGGTGTGTGTCAAGTGCCTTCACCCAACCCCCACAATATTCTCTTGCCTCCATGTTCCCAGCAATGGCTCCCTTCACCATCGGCCACAAAACTGTCACCTCCATCCTTTACTGTCCTCAGTTCTAATGGCTCATCGCTACCTGAATGTCAAACTGTTCTCTTAGGGCAACAGTATGCTCACAGAACACAGAGACCCTAGATGTCCGAAGTTCAGGTCATCCCATTGACTGCTCTCTCCTATGGTGGCCGTGAAGGAAGTGTTTCAGACTGGGGAGCCGCTTGGCTCCTCAAGGTTATTTAGGGATCCAGGTTCGAGACAACAGTGCAAGGCCAAGTCTTTCTCTCTCTCTCACTCACTCTTTCTCCACATCACTTGGGCTCCTGTCTCTGTGGGGAGCTTAGACACACCATCCACCCGGCTGCAATGGAGGCTGGGACACCCGAGGCAGCCTTGGGCACAGCTGGCCACCTCCACCGCAGTCCACTCCCTAGAAACCTAAAAACCTGCCTGGCTTGGCAGTGGAAGGAGGCTGTCTGGTGTGACCCTCCCTGCCTCTCCCCCGCCCTGCCACCTTGTCCTAGGTCTCCGTAGTCTTTGGCTTTGCTCTTAGAGGAACTTTGTTGTCCGTCACTCTCCAGGGCCACCAAGCAGAGCACAACAAACCCAACCCGCTTAGGTGCTGATCTGAGCCTCAGGCAATCACCAGCTCTTGTGGTCCAGCCTCGGGACACTGGGGTGGTCAGGAGTTCTCTGGTATCCTAATAGGCCTCAGATCTGCCCTGTTCTAGGCAGCCCTGTGCATCAGTGTTACAAAGTCACCCTCCTTTCCCAAGCCATCTCTTTCTCCTGTGCAGAGGATAGCTGGAGTTCATGGTTTGGATCATAAGGTAACACACTTAGCACGATCGCTTGGCCATAGGCCTGGCTTCTTCATCTACATTAACACTCACCCATTTCCCCTTCCTCAGCGAGCTCCTGTCCCACTTGGAGCCTTTCTGGAGGCCTGAAGAGGCACTGCTGTGTGCTGGTGGCATCATAGGCCCAGGTGCAAGTCACAGGGCTGGACAGGACTGCCTGGAGGCCCTGGAGGCATTGTTGGGATGGGCTCAGCGCTTAGCTGGGGACTCTAAGAAACACCTACCACCCCTAATTTCTGCTAGTAAACAGGATAAGGTATGCATCATGGAACTCTTGGGCTGGCTTGGACTAAAGCCTTCCACATAGTAGCTATTATTATTACCTTGTTGTTGGTGGTGGTGGTAGTGCCTTATCCGAGTGATAGTCTTTGGAGCATGCGTAGTGACATCTAGTGAGGAAAGGAGTGTATATGTGTGTGTGTGTGGAGGGGGGGGGTTGCAGTGTCTGGGGAAAGGCTGGCAAGCACCCATTAAAGAAAGCCCGACCCTCCCTCCCAGCTGGGTTCCGGGAAATGGGGTGCCTTTATCCTCTAGGCTACCAGGAGAGCTGGGAGCTTGGGAGCTGCCGTCACACGTAGCTGGCGACTTGAGCCACAGCATCTGGGATGACGGGGGTGGGGGTAAGACGCGGAGGAAGAGTCGAGGCAGGGGGCCCTGCACCCCCACGGCCACTCACATTGGTTACAGACTTGGAGGATTCCCAGTACACACCCGCTCAGGCCAACCTCCTAGAGGAGCCTGGTTCGGCCCCGCTGTGCGCGCACGCGCTCCTGGGATCTCGGGTTCTCTTGTAGCCCCCCGTGGGTGGGGCCCGCCTTCCGGGGTCTGGGTGGCAGGGGCAGATGGGGGGCGGTGCCGGCGAAGGGGCCGTTACTTTCCCAGAGCGGCAGGGCGACGTCAGGCGGAAGGGCGCGGGGCGCGCACGCTTTAAATGGCATTCGCTGTCATCGGCGCTCGCGGCCGTGTGGGCAGGAGCGGGCTATATAAGCCGCTAAGCGGGCCACCGCGGGGCAGACGGCGGCAGCAGCGGTGGCAAGCGCAACGGAGCAGCGCCCCCCCAGGAGCCTCGCGTCCCCCGACGGGTCTGCACCCCTCCACTCCCCCAGCCCCAGGAGCGCTGGCCCGGGCCCACGAGGGCCGCTGCCACCCCGCAGCAGATTTGGATCCTCCGCCCTGCGAGCCCCAGGCTGCTGCCTCCCGGGGGGTCCCGGCGCAGCGGCCGCCCCCGGAGAGCCCCGGCAACCCGCCACCAGGCTCCGCAGACGCCAGCGGCGCCATGGCGGCCACCAAGCCCAGCGAGCTGATGGGCGTCTGCTCCAGCTACCAGGCAGTGATGCCGCACTTCGTGTGCCTGGCCGATGAGTTCCCGCAGCCCGTGCGGCCGGCCAAGCTGGGCAAAGGCAAGGGCCGGTTGCGGCGGCCGCGCCAGTCCCGTTTCAAGACGCAGCCGGTGACCTTCGACGAGATCCAGGAGGTGGAGGAGGAAGGAGTGTCCCCCATGGAGGAGGAGAAGGCCAAGAAGTCGTTCCTGCAGAGCCTGGAGTGCCTGCGCCGCAGCACACAGAGCCTGTCGCTGCAGCGGGAGCAGTTGAACAGCTGCAAACTGAGGAACAGCCTGGACTCCAGCGACTCTGACTCGGCCCTGTGAGGCAGCCCACCGGCTGGTACCCAGTGGACCCCCGAAGCGCCCCGGACCACCAGGGACTGCCGCGCCCCACGCGCACGCACGCCAGCTTGAACTCCCGCTCGGCCACCAACTGGTCGGTGCGCTTGCTCCAGGTCCCCGGGCGGGCTCCGGGGCGCCAAGGAGAAGGGACTGGGGCTGGGGGCTGGGGTGTGAGGGTGCGGCTGCTTTCTTTGCCCTTGTAAATGTTTATTTTTTAACTCTTCCCAGTACGGACTCTGCCGAGTGTGCGTGCCGCCCGGAACATGGTCCGCTGGTTTGCACACCGCCCCCATCCGCGGGTTCCCAGCGCACGCTCGTGCACACTCACGCGACGCACACTCTCGCCGAACACTTTTCTAACTGTCGGGCGCGGCCGATGGGACTTGGGATGGAGGGGGGCGCAGCGCAGCGGTGGCTTGAGACCGGAGGATTGATATTTATTTTTGCATTGCGATGGCTGAAGGCGTTTATTTAACAATCTTTTTACTTGGATTATGTGCGAGGCTCCTGACCGGAGACAAATAAAGTCAATATATTTGCACAGTGCAATGTCTAAAGGGTGTTGACTTCTTGAACCTTTTGGGGGCTTCTAAGACTCGAGGAGAAAGTGGTGGGAATGGGGTAGAACATCGGGAACCCCTAGTTGAAATGGCTCCACAAACTTCAGTCACCCAAGGCAGGGCACGGGTCTATTACCTGCCTGTCCAGTGGATCAACCCCGGCCCCCCACAGTGGTACTGCTGTCTTCCAGGTCCCCTTTGGGGTGGAGGCACAATGGGGAGGGGTTCCGTGCGGCTGGAGAGCTCCCTCCTCCACGTGATGGGGAGATTCTAGAACCAGTCAGCGAGAACCCGGCATGGGGAAATTTGGGTGGACTGCAGAGAGGGCCAGGGTTCCCTTCAAGGTAGGACATTTGTGTAGGAGTGCGCCCACTGTGGCATCCAGGTGAGGGGCTCCGTGGCTCTCACGCTGACACAGCGCAGTGCGGGGAGTCAACAGCGGCTGCTCGCTGTCCTTATTGCCCTTTCTCCTTTGCTCTGTCCGAGTTCTGCCAGGAGGGAGGGTTGTGTCTTTGGGCTGAGACTGGAGGGCGCTTGGGCGCCACCCTACCTTACCCCACCCCCCCACCCTCCGCCTTTGTTTACAGATGAGCAGATGCACCCAGCAGTGAGGGTTAAGGCCACTGGGAGAGCAGTGGTGCATAGCAAGCTAGTCTCTCTCCAGCGCCCTGCAGGGACATCCCGCATCCCTGTCTACACTCTAAAGTTCCTGGATTGATTGTGTGGCAGTGTCACCGTGCAGCAGGTGGCTAGCGGGGCTACAAGAGAAGGTACCACACCTGGGGCCACTCCCCAGCCCAGGCATCCCAGGATTGTTCCATTGAGGACCCACCCTGTTCCTGCTCTAGGGTGCCCTCTGGTGGTGGGGGCTGGTGTGTGTGTGTGTGTGTGTGTGTGTGTGTGTGTGTGTGTGTGTGAGAGAGAGAGAGAGAGAGAGAGAGAGAGAGAGAGAAAGAGAGTGAGAGAGAGTGTGTGTTTTGACCACTCAAACACCCATTAGCTCAGCTCAGTGCAGAGTGTGTGTGTATATGTGTGTGTGTGTAGGGTGGTCCCCCTGACAGCTGAGCCCAGCAGGGAGTCTAAACTTCCCTTCTCTTCCCATTCCTGGCCTCTTATAGCTCTGGGCTCAGCAGAAGGCAGAGGAAATGAAACAAAGACACAAAAATAGAAACACAGGGGCCAAAGGATGTCCTCCCTGATGCTCAGAGATGGGAGGACAGGCCCAGGACCTGTAAATTTGGGGGAGGGGGAGTTGGCCCCCTGGCCAGTGCGGGGGCTCCCTAGTGAGGAGAGGGTGACAGGGAGCCCTGGGCTGGGAGATCCTCTCTCTTAGGAAGCAGCTGGGCTGCTGGACTGTCTTAGAGCTGGGCTTGTGGGAGGAGTGGCCCCCTGACCTCAGCCCCAGTCTCTTCTCCCTCTAAGAAGGCTCTCAGGGACAGGGAGGAGGACCTTGCTTGCTGGATGGCTCGCATGCTATCCCTTCTTCTAAAGAATCATGCTGCACTCTTCCTTTCCCATCTTGGCTCCACAAATGTCTGGAACCTCTGGGTAGCTTTCTTCCCCTTGGAAGAACTTCAATCCCACAACCCAGGCAAAGGCCACCCCGGCCATCAGGAGCCACTGCAGCCACCATCTGGCAGCCACTGCGGGTCAGCTCTTTTTCCCTGCACCACGCAGCTGCTGGGAATACTACCCTGAAATGTTTGCTGCCTCTTTTGCCTATCCCCTGTATTTTTCTAATTGTTTAATTTTTTTTATTTGTCTCCTTTTTTATTGCTCAAGAGCTATTAGTTCATACAGCACAAGTCACTTACACTCCCAGCACTCAAGAAAGAGGTGAACATTTTGAATGTTCATCTTGAGCATGCCTGTTTGTTTCCTTGCACAAAATGGGATGAATCTACCTGTGCTGTTGGCAGCCTGCTTTTCCACTCGATTGGGGTTGTGTTTAAGAGCAGTGTGTAAGGCCCTGCATCATCATGACTTTTATAAATTTCTATTGACTGGATGTTCCACATTTAATTCGGCTAATGTCCCGCTCTTTGACATCACAGTGATGTCTTCTTTGTACCCAATTCTGTAACTGTAACTGGCCTTGTAACCGGCAGGGCTGAGAGTCCCATCAGGAAGAAAAGCCTGGTAAAGACCATACCCCCGAGACGCAGAGGGACTGGCTGAGGGTTGCTGCTGAAAGGAGGAGGCCAGATGGGGGCCAGGCATGACTGCCCTGGGTGGGCTGTGCCCTACAGAGAGGAAAAGGAAGGCCAGACTTGGGGCAAGGGGCTCACAGGGAATCCCTATGGAAACTGCCTGGGCTCAGCTCTGCTCCGACTGCCAAGGCAGCACACAGCTCCCACACCACACTGAGCCGGGCAACCAAATGGTGACAGAGGTGGAAAGCTAGAGAGAGACACAACGGTGTAGAAAACAGAGAGATGGAGGGGAATGAGGTGGCCCCGCGGACACAGAGAAAGAGGGTTATCGAAGAGATGGAGTGATACAGAGAAGCAGGAGCAGGAGCCGGTGAATTCGAGGCATAGAGAAGATGGCTACTTGGTCTAACATTTAAGAAGCCTGCCGAAGCTCTCATGTCCCGCAGCAGAGGACCCCAGTCTGAGTTCCAGCCCTGCTCCTGATTTTGTGTTTCCATCTAGTACGAACCCTGGGAACCAGCAGGTGGTGGCTCGAATGCTGGGGTTCCTGCCACCTACACCGGAGACCCGAGTTGCATTCCAGGCTTCGGGCTTCGGCTTTGTCTAGCCCTGGAAAGTGAACCAACAGATGGGAGCACTTTGTGTCTGATAGGAAAAAGGGAGAGAGGAGGGAGAAAAAAGAGAGAAAGACTGGCTTATACAATAATGGATAGGAAGGAAGAAAAGTAGAATAAACTGTTCCTGAGACTGGCCACTGGAGGAGAGAAAAGGCAGGAGGCCGGACATGCATGGAGGGGTTGGGGTGCAGGCTGTGCCTGGGTGGACGAGGCAGCCAGTTCAGCCGTCTGGCCTGATGGGCTCATCCAAGAGGACTTGGACTTCCTCCCCTGCAGCAACCTGGTACTCAGCCCACAGTCTGAGGCTGAGTGTTGACTTTTCAAGCTGGCTGGAGCCCAGAGTAGATTACCAATGGTCATCTTGGCCCTGGCCAGCAGCTTCTCCTCAATATTTCTCTTTGACCCTGTGGAATATTTAATAGGGCATTCCTTGGCCCAACTTACTTAAAAGCAGGTTTGGCCTTTGCAGCCCACTGTTTGTGTGCCCAGTGCTAGACCCATATGATGTGGCATTGAAAGATGGGGTTAGCTGTGGATTTGGGAGCCCTCCCTCAGGAAGCACACTGAGACCCTTTGGGCTCTGGATAGATGGGGAAGCTTCTGGACAGGTGGGAGGTGCTTCTGAAAGATGAAACTGCACTTTTACTCTGATATGGTTTCCTAGGTGTTTCACAGATGAGAAAAATGGGAAGTAGAGGAGTAGAGTTCTTGAACAATGCCACTCAGCAGGTTGAGCGTGGTTACAGCCCACAGTCTGCATTGTTTCTTGAACAGGAGCTTTTTGCTCCCATTAGAATGAGGCTGACAGGCACCCTCTGCCGGCATGTGCCTATCAGGAGCTGCTGTGCCTCTGAAGTCCTCTGCCTTCCATTAGCCAAGTCTGTACCCCCAAGGAGCTGCTTCCCATCAGTGTGCACATGATGGGGATGCTAAGGCAGAGCCTCATTCCTGGAAGACAGGAACTTTCTTGGATTCTCCTAACGATTCCGTGCAGCTTCTTTGCCCATAGCGCAGTCTACGCTCAGCCTTACCCACATCACTCAGTCATTCAATCTCAAGTTCTCACTACACCTCATGAGATCTGTGCATATTTAAGCCCACCATGGCCACTGCTGCTTGGAAGACCAGGACTGGTACATCCTCTGAGCTCCCAGCAGCTTCCTAGGACTTCTAGACCTTTCCTTTGGGCCCCCATGTGACATAGTGAATGGTTTTGTGGAAGCCAACAGCTTGCCCATCTGGAATGGCCACCATACACTTTACAGTGAGAGCATCTGTATAGGTCTGCTTCGAACTGCTGCGTCATTATTACCAGGGCAACCTTCTCCAATCATCAGTAGAGAGGGCCAGTATGGGCCATGGGTATTATCCTAACAACAACCCTAAACTATGAGGCATCAGTGGAGTGGTTTTGCTGCCTGTGAGGAGGGAAAGCATATTGGAGACCCTTGGCACCCCTTGGCCAAGCATTTGGTAAAACCATTGTTGTGACACTTTTGAAGGCTGAGCATGCGCCAACTGAAACCATAATTCTTGGAGAAGTATGCATGTCATCTTCTGTGTGACTCCTTGTAAAGTGTCATAAAAGGGACAGGGGAGATGGGAAGGAATGTGAGGGTTTATGGAGGTGAGGGGCACCCCCCGTTTAAAAGCCACAGAGACAGATGGAGTTTGGACTGTTGTTGCTTGGAGTCTTTCTCGAAGGCCACCCAAGAAGCCTGGTGAAAGCTCCAGCTTTGGAGCAAGGTTAGATGAAGGGCATTATCTTCCCGCTCCAGTTTGATTGTTCCAGAGTCTCTTCAGGGTAGCCAAAATGAAATCAAGAGGAAAAAACAGTCATAAAACAGGCTGCAGGCCTCTGCTGAGAAAACAGCCCCGGGTGTGGTTTTTCTGGCACCTGAGACCGTCTAAAAGAAGCACGCAGACCAGAAACTTTTTAGGTATTTGAGGAATTTTATTACCAAGGCAACTGGGGATAGGAACTGCTGGTTGTGATGGTTGACCCCTTCCTCACCCACCCCCCAAAAAAGCACCCCCCAAGGAGGCTGGGCCTCTTGGCACCTGCTTCTAGGCTAATGTGGCCCTAGATGATAATGGGGATAATGGGGAAAAGACTCTCCTAGAACCCACTGACCAGATTAGCTGACCAAGGAATGCTCCCCTCTCCCACAGCAGAATCTAACGCCGTGAGCTCATGACTTCT